AGTCTGGAGTCAGTCACCAGTGACCCATGCTAGACCCCCACAAACGGGAAGCCGAGGCCCCACTCGGACTAGCCCGTTAACAACTCAACGAGCACCATGTTTCGTCCATCAAGGAAAAATGTGGCACGGCTCAGCCCATCTGTTTTATCAAAAACGCTTAAGTGATGAATATCACAAAGACGAGCCGACCCTCGACCAGACCCCTGCTACACATGAAGGCTTGAGGGAAGTTTGACTCGCAAGGAGACCGAACGCGCGGTCGCAGTACGACGGCGGACCGATCGGACTCTAGGGGACCAGAATCAAGAAAAAAATTTCTAACCTCCCGAATCCTACGGTTACATGCCCCTAAGAAGACCGATCGCGATAAAAAGGAATCATCATCCTACCAGGACACGCCGCGGCTACAAAAAGAAGACCAAGACCCTCAGAGTCCTCCCATCCGAAAAAGCCTCCAAGGAAGTATCCTACTCCTCTGTAGGCTCGGGGGCTACTGTTGGGTATCGATATTAGGGATAACCAAAACAAGGAAGTTAGCGCCCACGCTGACTTCTCCGGATGGCTTGAGACGTATTAAAAGGTCTCGCTCGACCCCAAGGCCGCAGGCTCCGTCTCGCCCGATCTCGAGGCCGCGGGCTCCGTCTCGCCCGACCCAAGAACGCGGGTTCCATCTCGCCTAAGGCCGCGGGCTTCGTCTCGCTCGACCAAGAGGCCGTGGGCTCTGTCTTGCCCGACCTCAAGGCCGCGGGCTCCATCTCGCCCGACCTCGAGGCCGCGGGCTCTGTCTTGCCCGACATCGAGGCCGTGGGCTCCGTCTCACCCGACCCCTTGGGTGCGGACTCCATCTCACGCGACCCTAGGGACGCGGGTTCCATCTTGCCCAAGGCCGTGGGCTCCGTCTCGCCCGACCCCTTGGGTGCGGGCCCCGTCTCGCCCAAGGCCACGGGCTCCGTCTCGCCCGACCCCTTGGGTGCGGGCTCCGTCTCGCCCAACTCTAAGGACGTGGTTTCCGTCTTGCCCAAGGTCGTGGGCTCCGCCCCGCCCGACCTCGAGGACACGGGTTCCGTCTCGTCCGACGAGGACCCATACCGCCGCTAACTACTCTAGATCCAAGCGTATGGGCCTGGGTCAAAACTCTAGCGACAGGGAAGAGGCTGACGCGCCTCAATATAACCCGTGGCCATGACGGGCCATATCTGGGGATTCACATCAAGAACAAGGTCGGGCATGCCGGTGCTGTTCTGCCTAATCCTCGTCCGGAAGCTGACAGGCGCGTCAGTTCACCACGACGTCCGTCGGGACGGAGTGGAACGCTATGACCGGCAACGCATGGCGCCAGTGACGAACGGGGCGCGATATATGGAGCCATCCCTGCTGACATCTACAGGATCAGCAGGACCCGCATGAAGGAGAAGAAGGAACCGACAACCCTGGAAGCCTTCTTCTCTCTTGTTCTTCTATTTTTTCTTATTGTAACCCACGCTTTCCTTTCGTCTATAAAAGAGGGAAGCAGGGCGCCCCATGGAAGAGGATTTGAATATAAGAGCATGACACGAGCACACGGCTGAGCGGCAAGCGAGCTCTCAACACCCGTTCACTCCTTCCACTAGAGACTTGGGATCATCTCCCTCTCTCGCCTATTTATAACCCCTACTACAAACCAAATATTAGTAACACGAGCAGCAACGAACTGAACGTAGGACGTTCCGCCCGAAAAATACCTTGTTCTCCAAACACACCATTCAAACCAGACATATAAATATAAATTTACTGAAAACACCGACACAACTTATAATACATCGTTTCAAACGCAAGTTTCTGTACGACGGTCAGTACTGATGTTGCTTACATCATGCATGCTACCTCTGTGCTACCTAACGATCTACCGTCTTGAGAGGAGTTAGGAGTGGACTCGATCGAGCATTCAATTTTGGGAGCGATGCCGATGTTAGGGCCTTGTTTAGATTTGAAAAAATTTTAACCCGATGAATAGTAGCACTTTCGTCTTATTTGGTAAATATTGTTTAATTGTGGACCAACTAAGCTTAAAAAATTCATCTCGTGATTTCCAACTAAACTGTGCAATTAGTTATTTTTTTTATCTACATTTAATGCTTCATGCAAACGGCTAAAAATTGATGTGATGGAGAGAGAGTGAAAAAACTTGGAATTTTGAGGGTATCTAAACAAGGCCTAGGCTTAGTTCGGGATTCCTGTTCATGCAAGACGGTTAGTTTCGTACTGTCGCAGGGAAGACTCATCATAGCATAGTATTTTCTGTACACACCAAGATCAAAATACAGAAAAAAGAGAGAGGAAAATAACAATAGATTTAGAGCAAAATTTAGGTGACATGTTCTCAAATATTATACAATCTTGTCATGAGAGAGAGAGTACCGATCACTGAAGCTGCGTGCATTGCCTCGCCCCTCACGTCAGATCGATCAGTAGCTGCAGGTTACAGGCCCAAAATATCTCTTATCCTCCGTGACCTTGTGTCCTTGTGCTACTTGCTTTCACGGTCCAGGTGAGGTGCAATTGCAAGTGCAAGTGCAAGTGCAAGTGCGAACAGGATAGACACCACGTTGCATTGCATGCAAGTGGAGTTCCGCAGAAAACCACAGTGCTACCACCACTTACCTTATCACTCAACCGCAGCGGTACATCAATAATGGACAACTGGCTAGTGGCTAGTGCATGCACTTGTCCAGCTCCAGTTCCATATACACTAGCTAGCAGCATGTGCACGATCGAGTCACTTGGCGACACAAATTGCACAGCATGCATATTGGTACACTCAATTTCGGTCCGATTCAATTCGTTGAGTGCATCGGAGGCGATATGTACACTCCTCAAAGATGGTACGTAGGACCGGGTGGTTGATGACTCTTCCTATACCTTTACAGCCAGCCGAAATGATGGCCAGCAGGCCTGGGCCCTGAAGATGGCGAAAAATGTTCCCATTGTGTGAGTGCGCGCGCGCGATAAGCGTCAGTGGAGTGGATCATTCGTTTCTCCACCAGACCACCAGTCCACCACCACACAACTCAGGCAAGGCACGCAGTGCAACTTTTGGCGCTCCGGGTGGGGAACGCGGAGGTCCCGGCCGGCCGGCCGGCTATGCGCCGGACCCGTAGTGGCGAGGCAGGCCATCGCGTTGCGGGTGCAGCGCCGTGCGGCGTGTGGCCGGATCAGATCTGACGACGCACGCGCTCGCCACGACTTTCCGCCCCGTCGTCGCGCGCGTCCACAAGCTCATGTCAACATGACAACATGTGGTGGTGGCCACCGAGGAGTGAGGAGAATGAACTATCCAAGGCAGCTTCTTCGGTTGGCGGCGCTTAATGATCAGAGTTGGTAGGTAGATCTCGCTTACGAGCACTGATGATCTGCGATGGTGCGCGGGGTTTCAGACGACTGGCTGTCTGGTTAGCTTTGGTTGGCTTCTTACTGGTGACGAGACTGGACTGCTTCTCATCAACTTTGGCTTGCTAATGCTGTGGCCAGAACTCCACATTCGGGTTAACGATCCGCTAGTTGACCGCCCACACCACACGAGGCACGCCCCCTGTTTCGTTGTTCCAATATGCCGTGAATTGTATATTGCCGGTGCTTCCATTTGACCGATTCTGTGGCTCGGCTGACTCGACTTCTTTCGCAGTACACTTGTTTTGGTTGCTGGTCAGGAAGGTACACGTGGCAAGTAGAATAGTAGACATTGTTTGGTTCCACTTTCTAAATTTTAGTCGTTGTCCCATCGAATGTTTGATATATGTATGAAATATTAAATATAGATTATTTATGAAACTAAATGCACAGATTGAGACCAATTTACGAGACGAATTTAGTAAACCTAATTAGTCCATAATTTGACAATGTGGTGCTACAGTAAACATGTGCTAATGCTGGATTAATTAGGCTTAATAAATTCGTCTCGTTGATTACTGACAAATTTTGTAATTTGTTTTTTTATTAGTATCCGACCACCCCATGCGACATCCTATGTGGCACATGTGGTAAAGTAGGGCTGTTCAGCTGATATTAAAACCGGCTGATAAGCCAACTGAAGCTATTTGATTATGAGAAAAAAATACTATAGATTCTAACTTATAAACTGGCTGGGCCGTACTTACCAATTACCATCGGGACAGTTGTGCGGCTGACAAACGTAACTGAAACGTACTCGGATTCCTCTCGCTCAGCCCTTCAAATTACACTGTACTCTCGCAATCTTCGGAAGGCAAATATTTTCGAGACATATTGACCTATATAGTGATACCTTAACCAATGCAACATGGTTCCCTCCATGTTTAGACTAATAATAATCAGCACAAAAAAAACACATCCCATAATTAGCCACGCTTTCCTTTCGACCGTCTCCGTCCCAGCTGGAGTGTTCGGCCGATGGTAAAGCCACTAGTGTTGATTTGTATGACTGATTTTTTTAGAGAGAAAAATATTATATCATAGTTTATAGGCCAGCAAATAAGGTGGCTACACTCCAATTCAGCCAACACCACGGCTCGCACGCGTAGCCACGCTCCGCCCAACCGCCAACAAGACCCGCATCTACCAAAACGAACGGCCACGTATCAGAATTCAGATGGCACAAATTCTGGCATCCACAGGCCTACTAGACGTCACCATCGCCCTCGTCAACACTGTACGCTCCATCGCGGTTGCGTTGCGTGCGTTCCATGCGCAGCGCAAGCCAATCCACTTCGACGCCAGCCAGCGAGAGCCGCTAGTCGCGCCAGCCACCAGCAAAAATTACTTACTATATAAAAAATCCGATTGCTCCTCTGGGTGTGATTAGTCGGCTAATTAATCCAACCGTCGCGACTGACCCGCCCTGCCGCCCACCCGTTCGGCGCTACAAATACCCGCGAAACGGCGTGCGCAACGCAAGCAGCCAGCAGCCAGCAGCCAGCAGCCGCAGGGAAAGGGAAGCGCGCGGCACAAGGACAACAAAGCCTTCCAAGGACAGAGCAGGCGAGGAGATGGGGATGAGCCTTGCGCAGGCGGTGGCGGCTCTGGTGGGCACGTGCGCGCGGCGGCTGTCGCGGGCGGCACGGCGGCTGCACCACCTGCGCCCGTCGCGGGACGGGATCGTGGCGTCCTTCTCGTCGCGCGCCATCGTGCCGTTCCTCGGCGGCGGCGGCGGTGGCGGGGGCGTCAAGAAGGCGCTCTCCTCGTCGTCGAAGTCGAAGAGGAGGAAGGCGGCGGCGGCAAAGGAGGAGGCGGGGGACGCGGTGTGGAGGAAGGAGATCATGATGGGGGAGCGGTGCCAACCGCTGGACTTCTCCGGGGTCATCTACTACGACGCCGACGGCTGCCGCCTCGCGCAGGCGCCGCCGCCGCGCTCGCCGCTGCGCAGCCCGCTCCCGGCCTCCATGAAGCTCGCCGCCAACGCCGGCGCCGCGTACTAGCTAGGAAGTCCTCTGTGTTTCTCCCCTGCTACTAGTGTACATGGTTTTCTTGCCGCTGCTTTGTCTGTCGTTGGTACTTGCTATTAGCAAGAGGTTTTTCCTTGTCCTTTGTCTTGTGTACTAGTGATTAGTGAGGGCCTCTCCTAAAGTTTCGAGATGCTTGGCATGCTTTTACCCATATGTTTGAGCTTCGCCCTCATCACATACGCTGTTTTCTTTAACCGCTCAACATGTATTTTACGTTGTTGTTTTTCCCTTGTTTTCTCGTTTCAGAGGTCCTATTTAACAAATCAGTTTTGCTACTACTCCAAGGAAACATCACCTACGGAGTAGTATGTTTTAAGCGTTGGAAACCTTTTTTTTCCTTTCAACAGACCATCTGAATATCTGATCAACTTTTATTTAAGCTATTGTTGGATGGTTGCCCAAATTTTAACGCAGAGGTCCCGGGGTTAAACAGGTGATCACAGTGACACGTTCCGCTCCTCTGCGTTATCCTGAATGGAATCGCACGACCTCAGGAACCGGCCGTTCTAATTAGTTCCACGGCAATCAAAGTTGGCAAGCACTGACTAAAGACTAAACCAAACGTCAACTTGAGTTTCCTCCTCCACCATCAATCAACGCCCTTTTGCCCTCCAAAAAGAGAGGAGCTTAACTTAAACGGGAAGAATTGGTTGACAGAACAATTTATCAGGTGGAACTACCAATGCATTCTGAATGTTCGTTCGTTGTGGTTCACCAAGCTCAACCGGTCAGAAAACTATCCAACTTTGGCGACCCGAAGTTGGGAATTGGGAATTGCCGGCGCCCAGACGGCCAACAGAAACGCGCCACACTTCCACCGTATCACTATAGTACTTTCCCGTCTGCCTCGTCCCGCCATGCACGCGTACCCCGCCCCGCGCCCGCCGCTCCTCCCCCTCCTCTCTCTCCGCGCGAGTGAGACCTGAGAGCCGGGATGAGGACGAGCAAAGCCCGTCCATAGGACCCCAGGCACGCCGCGCGCCCCATCCACTGGCCCTGGCTTACCGCGCCCATCCCCGGTGCCCAGGGCGTGCCCCATGACTCTCCGAACATACCTCTGTAACACGAAATACTTGCAACATGAAACACTTGAATGCAACATACATATGAAGCAGATGAAACATTTGAACATACACTTGCAACAGGTGTGTGAAACATATGCAACATTCAGATAAAAACATTTGCAAACTTGCAACATGAAAACACTTATTGCAACATAAGATTGAAACAGCTGAAACATTTCGAACATACTCTTATAACATATGTGTGAAACATATGCAACATCCGAATAAGCACACTTGCAACATACGTCTGAAAAACAGATGAAACATTTGGAACGGACGCTTGCAACGTACGTGTACAACCATTGTAACATGGGCAATATCACGATCTATTTTTGCAACATCCATATGAAACACTTACAATATACTTCTAAAAAAGCAGATGAAATATTTGGAACGGACGCTTGCAACGTACGTGTACAACTATTGCAACATGGGCAGCATCACGATCTATTTTTGCAACATCCATATGAAACACTTGCAACATACCTCCGAAATATCTGAAACAATTGAAACATGCGCTTTTAACGCAACATCGCCTTGCTTCTCGCAGAATGGAAGCTCGTCAGTGTGTGGTGTTCAACGGAGGCAGCGGCCCGACGGCGCTCATAGGCGGCGGGCTGGTGGCAGTGGCTACATCCAAATTATGAGACATAATATAAGGCAAAACCTCTAAGTCTACATCCAAATTACCTTGGGGAAGCATGATGCCTTTTATCTGTACGTCCAGCTTCGACCGTTGTTGCGATACCTATGTACTAACTACATCTCAACTATTGCCTTGTTGATGGCACGTGAGTACACATTTTGCGAAGTTAAAAGCTATATGTATACCTCGACTTCTCCGTTTGGCTTTGACTGCAAGACATGTGATTGGATTAAAAAGGTATTATATAGAAACTATCTATTGAGAACATAGTTTTTATATGTAATATCTACATAAATTAATAGACATAGAAACTATATGTGGTTTTTAGCATTGGATGCCTTAAATCGTCATTGAAGGTGTTCTTAAACAGAAATTCCACTGTGTTTAAGTCCGAACTGGGGTAGGACTTGGAGTGAACTGTGTGAGTATCGAGCCGGTTTGGTAGAGCTCCCTTTGGTTATGATTCTCTATCAAAGCTGATTCACCGAGAGAAGTGATTTTATGGCTGAAAGTGATTCTCTTTTATTCTTAGCATAAACTCTCAAAATCACGATGGAGAATCACTTCACAGAATCAAAAGAAGCTACTTTTTCCAGCTCCTAGCCTTTTAGTTTATTTCAAAGAATCACTTCACAAAATTAATAAAGAACCATCTCTCTAAATCTAGAGAATCAACCCTGAGAGCTCTAACAAGCCGGGCCTCAGTGTTCATCGTGACAAGGATGTGCACCCCCAAGGCCTAGCCCAACCTCCGAAGCACCGCAGGCCAGAAGCCAACATCAGGCCTGTCAGCCAGGCAGCCCAGCGGGGGACGAAGCCCAGCGCAGGAAGCCAGGAATTCGTAATTTCAGTCATCCACAAGCATAAACCCATCATCCAGCAACCTGCAGGTGTTCCGTGTGGCCGTGTCCATGCCACCAATCCATGGTCGCCCACTCGCCCAGCCCGCCATGGAACCACGCACGCGCCTAATCGGATAGGCCGTAACTGAGTGGTTATAGTTGCTTAATTAATCCAGCCGTCCCGACCGGCTCGCCTGCGTCGTCCACTCGCTGGGCGCTACAAATACCCGCGAAATGGCGTGCGCAGCCGCACAGAAAAGCCACCGAAGAACGCAAAATCGAGAGAAAGGCACAGTGTACAGGTAAACGGGAAGAGAGGGACGAGAGGACAATGGGAATGAGCCTTGCGCAGGCGGTGACGGCGCTGATGGGCACGTGCGCGCGCCGCCTGTCGCGGGCGGCGAGGCGACTGCACCTGCGGCCGCTGCAGGGGCTCGCAGCGTCCTTCTCGTCATCACACACCATCGTGCCGTTCCTCGGCGGCGGCGGCGGAGCCATCAGGAAGGCCAGGTCGTCGAAGAGAAGGAGAGGTGAAGAAGAAGATGAGCTGAGCTTCGAGGCAGAGGACGGAGTGTGGAGGAAGGAGATTATGATGGGGGAGCGGTGCCAGCCGCTGGACTTCTCCGGGGCTATCTACTACGACGCCGAGGGCCGCCGCCTCGAGCAGCCGCCGACCCCGCGCTCGCCGCTTCGCAGCCCGCTGCCGGCGTCCGTCATGCTCACGGCAAACGCCGGAGGGCACTAGCGGCTAGAGAGCCCACAGTTTCGCTGTAAATGTACATGGCTTTGTTGCCCGCTCCTCTCTTTTTTCTGGTTCTTTCTCTCTGGACTTTGGCTTGTGCTGCCATGTACGTAAAAGTTTATGGAAATTTGGCTTGCTGTTCTCTAGAAGTTGTCGCTTTATTTTGTACTTTTTCTTGTTTGTTCGTTTTGTAATCCTAGTAAAAATTGCAGCTTTATCCATGACTGCTGTTTTTAGCGGAACTGAGCCACTGAGGAGACTGTACGGTGACAGCGCTGAAAGCGTCATCTATCGCTGTTATTCTGTTATAGCTCTCAACAGTTTACGAACACAATAATGCACTTGATACATGTGCAAACTGCTGGGGTTAACATTTGAGTGGCTGATTGAACACGCGTGTAGCAACACCCCTTTTGCAAATTGAACTTTGTGGCGATTTTAATTTGTAAAAATAATACAAGAGTGCAGTAGCACATACGTATAATTTGTAAAAAAGGCACCAAATTCGAAGAATTTGAAAGAGTGCAGCTTGCGCAGTTTATATTCTTTGGCCAGAGCCCAAGATCATTGCGGCTCAGAAGTCGCCCTCTTCTGCAGTTCTGCCCTTATATGAGTGGAAGTGGAATAACACTACGTCACACACAATAGCCGCCGTTCTAACCTCAACACAGTCCAAGTTGACTTAAGTTGCCTCCTCCATCATAGCCGCCTTGCTTTTCTCCATCCCAAAAGCGAGAGGCCTTAACTTAAACGGGACGAATCGGTTGACAGAACAAATTCATCAGGTGGAACTACCTCATGCATTCTGAATGTTTGTTGTGACTAATGAGCAGCTTCAAGCAAGGTGTCCAACGTCCGGGACCTGAAATTATTAGCACACTGCGACGACTTTTGCCCCGGCACGCTTCAGTTACAATAATACTGTGTTCTGTAGTAATGATTTCCTGAGAGCAAACCCAAATTATGCGTAGCCAAGTTAGAGTCTACTCCCAGGAAATTTTTGAAAAATTGAATTTCCAAGAAAATCCATTGCGCACTTCATCTCTGATGGAGAGAAACACCAAACCCTCATTATGCCTACAGCTGTTCTTTGGAGTAGAGTAGTAGACATTGCGAAAGCTTGAAATCACAGGTAGTTCGATAGGACGCACTGACCAGTGAAGAGTGGCCGTATATCTGCTCATTTTGGCAGCAGGGAAAATGGCCAAGGAGCAAATAATTCGGAAGAAAATGATGGCGCCCCTACCCTACCCAGAAGGATCTCACATGGGATGGGGGACATGGCGCAATCGCCAACCGTCTCACTGTCATGGCAGTCGCCCGGCGCATGGCCCAGTACGGCCGCCTGCGCTGCGCCCAAACCTTCCTTGCTGCTGCCTTTGCTGGGGCTTCCAGGCCGCAGCCTGCAGGCGAGATGTCAGGAGCCAGAGCCGGAATGATCAGTGTGGTACCTGCCCATCATTCAGCTTATCGTCCTTCCTCCTCTCCGATCGTCAAGATGGTACGCGATCGACACTCAAAAGCGACACGCAACTAGCCAACTGCTCGTGAAACGGAAACCTCAGATTTTCAAACACAACAAGATGAATTTCACTTATACAAGAGGGAATTTGCGAGTCACAGGAAACGACTTTACAGAGACGAGAGATCCGCCCATTGCACGCACGCAAGCACCAAACTACGCACGCATGGATACATATATACATCGTCAGGCGCCTTTGAAGCAAAGAGGAGCTACTGTACAAGCTGCAGGTTTTGACGCGGACGCACGCACAAAACCAAGCGTGGTTTGCAATGCATCGTCACGGCCAGAACCTGCAGCACGAGGGCTTGCTGCCGCCGTGGTGCCGCTTCTTGCCGCCGCCGCCCTTCCGCTTGGGCACGGTCACCGTGAGCACCCCGTCCGCCATGGCCGCGCGCACCTCGTCCGCGGCCGCGTCGTCCGGCAGCCGGAACTGCGTCTCGAACGCGCGCGCGCCGGCCCTCTCCCTGCAGTGCCACCTCACGGTCACGGCGCCGTCGGTGCCCCCGTCCTCTTCCTTCTTTTCCTCGTGGCCCGCCGCCGCGCCGCCCTTATTGGCGGCGGCGTCGTCCTGGTCCTGCTTGCCGCAGCGGACGCGGAGGATACGGCCGTCCACCAGCTCGACGGCCACCTGCTCCTTGGTCAGGCCCGGGACGTCCATCGTGAACACGTGCGCGTCCCGAGTCTCCTTCCAGTCCATCGGTGGCCGCGTCTCGCCGACGCTGGCGGCGTCGGGGAAGAACCTGTCGAGCAGCATGCGAGACAGCGCCAGCGACATCCTACTAGTCTTCGTCTTCTCTAGCCCGGGGTTGTTGCCTTGTTGGATTGGCTGACAAGTGTCGATCGAGCTCGGTTAACAAGTTGCTTACGTACTCCTAGTACTTTGTCTCGTAAAATTTACAGAGTGCTTGTTTTATAGGCGCCAGCGCGGTGGCGGGAATTTGCGAGAAAGATGCAGGACGCGCGCACCGGCTTCTCATTCTGGCCAGAGTCGTCTGGTTGTGTCTAGAACTCTAGTACTAGTGCAAGTGCAAGTCGCCGCAGGGCACAGGCGCGCAACCCGCCCTACGCCGAGTTCCTTCGGGAAGCATCTCATTATCAGATGAGCGCCTGACGAGGGTCGAGGGCGCCCAGCGCTGACTCGGCTACCGTTCCAGTTCGGCACCGGGACCAGGACTCCAGGAGTGGTGGGCTCTGCCTGGAAGTGGAAGGAGAGCCCGTGCGGGCATTGTTTGGTCAACCTTCCTTGGACAGTTGGACTCGGGCCTCTCAACGCGCGCGCCCTTCTTCATTTGATCATTTGTCAATCAAAATCAGGGCAACAGAATCAGAGAAAAAAATCGCCAAGGTAGTGGGAGAAGCATTGCACATACTCCCTCACTTCTAAAACAAGCCCTCAAACGTTTTAAACTTTGATCAAATATATATATACAAAAAATAGTAATCTATACCTAATAATAATAATAAAGAGGTAAATTTCCAATCTACCTTTTCGTCCATCCATTTTTTTTTCGTCTATATCTAACTAAAGGAAAATAGAGAGTTTCTTCCGTCTGGACTTATATATATAACGCGTGCTCATATGAGTTAGAATAGTTCTTGTCTGGCGCGATATGGAATTCGATTCCAAAACCTAAGAAAAAAGAAATGTTATGAGTGAATTGTGAATATTCGTTTTATATATGGAATGCAAAGATATGGGATAGAGTTCAGGTACAGTACGCTTGGAAGATAAAAACATAAACAAAGAAGGAAAACGAAATAGGCCAGAAAAAGGAAATGTTACGAGTGAACCGACGTCGCTCTCTCCTATTCCAAGGTCAAAACTGGCCAATCATGTAAGCATACACCTATTCAATTACGTGCATAAACAAATCACCTCATTTGCAGGTAACGAGTCTTCTATTTCCTTTTTGAATCACGTACGCAACACTTTTTCACCCGGCAAGCTCATCCTTGACTCAGTTTGTTCCTTCGCACTTGATATTGTCCGATCAGACATAGTCCAAGCTGTTTACGATACTTTGTTTTCAAATTCCACAATTATTGTTTTGATCTATTGTTGTTTTGGTCCCAAACGTCATAGACCAGAGCGCTCCAGTTACCACCTCACTTCGTCTATCAGGCTTTTAATTAACATAACATAGAAAAATCAACAAGCAAATAAGGGAAGCTCGACGGGGATGAAAAAAAAATCAAGCACCGAACCACTTCCGTTATATTCTTTCTCCATTTTATTTACCCTTTTTTCTTATTTTCACCATAAATATAAAAACTAGTAATAACCAAATATTATGGTACTTGAGCAATTAGACCTCTTTCTTAATAAAATAGATAATTTCACCACTAAATTATTGATGTGGTAAATCATTGATGTAGTTTTAAATAAAACAAAATTTATCTTATTACAACATGATATAGTCAATGGTCGAATTAATCAATGCCCTGTTCGCTTGGCTGATAAGCCATGGCTGAAAGTATTGTTGGCTGATTTGTTGTGAGAGAAAAATATTGTTCGTTGGCTGAAAAAGTACGGCTTATAAGCCAAGCGAACAGGGCGCAAATCGTAAACTGAAATCTTGAGCAGTTTGTTGTCCAATTTAGTCGACAAATGTGACTCTAAACTTTATGCATGTAGCGTTGAAAGACATGACAGGGGCAACCATGGCTCCGTTCGCGTGCCCTTAAATCTGGTTTGATCCGCTTTTTTTTCATCCGGAACCGTGTTTTCCTCTCACAAATTCCTCCAGATTCATCCAGATTCCTCCAAACGAACGGGGCCCACATGGCAGTCCTGGATACGTCGGCAACTAAATCCTTACTGACTATATATATATAATCAAAACTAGAATTACAAAATTTTATGGGTTCACAGAGAAAGTCATCCGAACTCGATATTGAACTGTACCAACGAATAAATAGTATGAAATTAAAATTGTGATATATTTAAAAGTAAATATGTTTGTGCTTTGCAATAGAAGAAAAAATCTATCAAAATTGTATTTTAATCTGATACATACTTAATAAGACATCATGTATTGCCAACATTAGCTTAAATATATTATGGATGTTATAGTCTTCTTAAAATAAACTATAGCTTTAAAAATCTATAGAAGGATAAAACATAAATATGTAAGTATTATCTTGGCCCTCCTTTTCTATGAATGTTCATACAATCGCCCGCACGGCACGCATTTTCGGGCGGCGACGATAGCTACTGGCCCATGGAGCACACTTGCCGTGCCTGCAAGCGCTGCTTTCGGCGACTGCAGGGCTCAGCCTTGACCCGAGCCACGGACACAATGAGGCCATTTTTTCGTCCGTCACAAAAATAACAGCCCGTGCACCACAGCACGTTAAATCTAAAACACCTCCAAATAAACATCTCAATCCATTCAAATATCAAAAAGAGCTGTTTTTGTGCAATGTCATTAAAAAAACCTACCTAGGTAAAACTCACCCTTGTGAGAAACCCTAGGCGGGGAAAAGAGAGTCAACTGTCTTAATCTTACATAGTTATTACAGACCATTGTTCAAAGGTTCAAATGAAAACTAAGCAAGTGAGTGAGGGACACATCCACTCTCAACTCACACAAAAGTACTCCAACACTCCCAGCCAACCAATGCCACTGTCAGCCACCAGATCCATCATCTTCACCTTCTGGTTCATCCAGGAACAGATTCTCAATGCATCTTCAATTTCCTTGGTATCAGACTTCATGTTGTTCCTCTTCTCTCCCAGCTCCCACTCCTTCAACAAGGTCAATCAACATGTTCGGTTTCAAGCTCGTAATTCTTCTAGGATCCTCCTGCTAAGGCTGAAACAAGACTCAAGAACAAGTGGAAGAGGAAATGACATGATATCTCTCGCCATAATAGCCAGATAGGATAGGTTAGTTTGTGGTCCTTCCACCACGTAAGAATGTCAAAACCATCCTCATAAGCGGTTATGCAATCATTTGTCCAAATAGCTTGAAAGTTCGTATACGGTGAGAGTGAAAGAAGAACATGCCGGACCACACTGATCCTCCAAAATTACCCCCATTTTTCTCTTACCATCCATTTGTGACCTTTACCAAACTTTCTCAAATATTTCTCAAACATTTTATGCACCATCAATAGTAAGTAAATTAGTACCAAGTATATTCAAGAAGTAAATGGAGGACCCTTTGCATACCTCTCAAATATCTAGGGTCAAGAATGAATGCAAATGAGTATAAGAGAGGAATGTCCTTCCAATACTTGAGAAATTTATCTTTGCATAGGGTACACAAAGGGTCTAAGATTAACATCTCTTTCACATGCATGCAAATGAGTTGCAATCTCGAACATGAGTGCGACAAGAGGATTGGTAGGATAATAAACACCAGATAACAAGAGAGTCATAAAATACTTCCAGAAACTCAATATTTTCCCAGCCAAAAATTTGGAGACAACAATGCAGAACCATAATTTGAATTTATGAACACGAAAAATACTTCACTTTGTAAAAACCAAGTGTTTTAGCATGAGATAAGTAGCATTCCATCTAACATCCATGTCTAAGCCAAATTTTCTAGGTCTCAAGCTTCACAAAGTTTTCTAAACATAGCAATTCTTTGATTAGAGGAGTTCAAGAAATTAATTGCAGTTCTAAAATCCTCTATATAAGTTTGATTCTTTTTAGTCCAGTTTGACTATCGAGTTAATAATGTGACAAGCACGCAGTTGATGATGTACAAGATCAGTAACCAAAAAGCGGGATCATCAAAAGAGATCACAACCAAGATAACCAAACAAACATGGGTGTCAAAGTTTCCATAGCCTTAGCATTAGAAGATGCATTATCTAAAGTGATAGAAAAGATTTTATCAACCAAGCCATACTCCTCAACAACAGATGCAATGGAAGCGAAATGTTTTCACCGAATGCTTAACTTGAATCAACCTAAGACCAACAATCTTCTTTTGCAATTCCCAATCATTCACATAGTGAGCAACAACAGATATGTAATCCTCTTTAGCATTACTGTCCATATGTCAAGTCAAAGCAACAGATGCGTAAAGCATGCACAAATCATAGCACGACGTTCTAAAAATAACTTATCCGGATCTCTAGTGGTGGTTCTTCTAGATGATCTAACAAATCTTGAATGAGAATTTTTAATATATTCCTCAAATGCATCAGGGTCACCAAAACCAAGAGGAAGATCAAGCCTAGCAATCAATCTACACAGCTTCAGTTCTAGCAACAAAGGGATCATAGTTCCAATTATGCAAAGACCCATCAACATTAAAAGCTAGTCGAGATTTGAACCCTAGAAGCATTATCAAGTTTACATTTGCAAGATTTTTGGTGCCTAAGAATGTGACCAAGATACAAGTGATGAATCTAGCACTCAACACAGTTCTACACATCTTACATATAGCTCTAACACGCACATCGACACCATTAATCTTCTCATAAACCTCCTCAAAGTCACCCCAAAGACCGAGACTTGCGCTTACCAAGTCCGAAAACATCTACCATTACCATCAAGATTACCATTAACACCGGTGTGTAAATGTTGGAGTCCACCGTCCATTCGGCGTCGACGCCGATCACGCAAATCCCGCAGGTGGCGTCATCAAACACCGCAAAGGGGTCACGGCCGTCGTCGTCGTGCTCGGGGGGACAGCCCCCGCGACCAAGTCATCGTCGCCGATCCACATGGCGTCACACGCCATGGGGCCCTCGGCGGACGGTGAACTCCAAAGACCGTTCCTCAACGGTGCGCTGGCTACGGCTTGGCAATGCCAT